CATCTGGACCTCACTGGCAGGCACCAAAGCAAAAGGCAGAGAAGAATTTTACAGATGACAGGAAATATTGGAGAGATTAGGAAGAGAGAAGGAAATGTGACCCAAAGTTATAAAATGTCATCTACATTTTTATTTTATATGTTTGTAAATATAGCAGTCCCCATCAAGATGTTGAATCACACAGGTATGTCAACTGACTATGATCTATCCCCAATCAAATTAGGAAATATCACTTTATTTGCTCTTTATTCTTCCACTGCAAAGATATCTTGGTTATTAGAATTCACAATTAAACTGTAATTTGCCTTGAGGATGGAATAGTAGGTAAGTATAATTAATGCTTTAACCAAACTTAACAAATTCAAATACGATGAATGTTTTTCTTGTAAAAATGTCAAACTTCAGTGTTTTAAAAAACCAGATCTAATATTCTCCTTGGTGGACTTTAGTCAGCTAATAAAGAATGATTAAAAATAGAAAAAAGTTAAAGAATATCCCTACTCTTAATTTCTCTTAGCCTTTCGATTACTAGATTAGAACAGTAAATGGATTATTACGCTTGATATTTTGTTCTTTAGTTTGGAAACACTGGCATTAAAAACTAAAAGCCAATTTGCCATTTGAGCAATATTCTTAGATCTTCGTAGAAATTTTTTTCTTTAAATAATAAACTTCTGTTTTCCAATATGCCTTTATCTCATATGGTTGTTCACATTGTTTGATTATATTTTTCTAAAACAGAATTAGGAAACTTCTAGCCTAGGCATCAGAATTAGCATTTGATTTGGGTTTCTCCTAGACAGCTGTTCTTTTGGTATTAATGCTGTACACAAGAGGAAGTCATGGTGTGCTCACTCTGGCCCTTCCAGAATGGAGCATGAAAACCAGAGAGTTTGTATCATTGCTCAATGAAACATCTTTTGTGAAATGTGGGTTACACTTCGATGTTTACAGGCCATGTAGATAGCAAATTGTGGACTCCATTTCATTAACCCTAGTTCTCTGGCTTTGCACATTTTTTATTTTTTATTTTTTTTACCTAATTCTTTCATCTTCCTGCTTGTTTCCTTTCGTCTCCTTACGTTTCTTCCTCTCAATGAGTTTCCACCTCTGTGTAGTATTTGTTTCCTTCACTCATTCTATTTCTGACCCTTACTCGAACTCCAGCCTCAGGGAACTATCCCTTTAAGGTTAAGGTCAATTTATAAGATGGAGATCGAGCCCTTCACAACTTGTGTGAAAAAAACAAACACTGTCAGAACTGTTGTCTGACATCTTCATTCTGGCTTCTCTACAGACGTATTTTTCTTTTGAAAATTTTAATGTCATACTCAACATATTTTAACATAAAATACATATAAGCAAGCACATTATGAGCTAACTCTCTGCACGTTCTAACTCCCTACCCCCACCCAGTATATTTTTTAAAAAAAGGTTAGGAAGGCAAGTTCAAAATTAACACATTGTAAACTATTACTACATCTAGTATTTTTTTATTCTTGGGAAAGCATACCACTTTTGGTTAAACCCTAATCTTTCTCAGGTTCACAATAGTCTGGCTATATGTATTCAAGCCTATCTGTCCTTAGCCCTGGGACATGGACTCCTATATAGCACTTTAAAAAAAGATTACTTGAATTATGACTAAATAAAAATTTTAATTCTAAATGAAAGCAACTATTCCTGAGACACTGAAATTCAGAAAATAAGGATGACTCCGTAATCATAACCGTGATGCATTTCAACCATCACCCCAGAACTATCTCTATACAACCTAACTAGGTCAACAGTGAGCATTCTAAGCATTTCTACATTAGCACACAAGTGGTTCACTTTGAGAAAAGCAGTCTTTCTAGAGGTACATAAAACATATTGTAGAGAATTTAGCTTTTGTCCCAAATTCTGTTTCACAGACTCTCCCTCAGCTTTCTATCCTTCTTGGATCTTAGTGTTTCTTTGCAATGTTTCTATTTTTGCTCCTATTTCACAAACCGAATTTTAGTATTTTGCTCCTCCCTCAATTCTCCCTTCCTTTCATTTGATATTTAGGTTTGCATTTACTGCCTTGGTGTCATCCATCCCACTAACAAATTGCACCAGCATCATCCTCAAACTAGTATAGTATTTGCCAGTGTTTATATTAGAAAAATCTAAGAAAATAGGGTACAGAAAAAGTCTCAAGTTACACTCCATAAACAAATGGTAGAACATCAGAATCACTTGTGAAAATTCTTAAGTCAGCGGAAGGGTATGCATCTGTGATGTTGGTGACACTGAGAGGTCACCATATCTTGGGTGCTCCCATATCTTGGCTATTGTAAATAGTGCTCCCATGAACATAGGGATGCACAGATCTTTACAAATTATTGTTTTGGTTTTCTTTGGATAAATACCCAGAAGTGCAATTGCTGAGTCAAAAGGTAGATCTGTTTTTAATTTTTTAGAAACCTCTAGGCTGTTTTCCATAGTGGCTGTACCAGTATGCAATCCCACTAACAGTGTATGAGGGTTCCCTTTTCTCCACATTCTCATCAGCACTTGTTGTTCTTTGATTTATTGATGATAGCCATTCTGACAGGTGTGAGGTGATATCTCATTGTGGTTTTAATTTGCATTTCTCTGATGATTAATGACCTTGAGCATCTTTTCATATGTCTATGGGCCATCTGTATTTCCTTTGGAGGAATATCTATTGTATATATTTTTATTAGCTGGATTTTTTGAAGTAATTTTGCACATTTTTTATTTTAATTTTAAAACATGTATTTTATATTCCCCTAAAGAAAAACAGACTCAAGTTGCATAAGATTTTTAAATTTTTAATTCTTACAGTAGTAAACGATCCTCACCAGACACCTCTGTTTTTAAGAGAATATATTTCTTCATCTCTGAAATCAAGATAATATCTACCTACCAAACCTAATCACCTCAAAGCAGTCCTTTTCTTGGATTTCTCCTATTAGTTCTTTTATTGTCCCAATATCTTCATTCTTGGTATTCTTTCCTCTTCTCTAGGCCTAAATTTATCTGTCAAAATAGTTTTACTAGCCAGTGAAAAATACTCTATTTTCCTTTTTTCCCATCAGACCTTTACATAAGTGCAGAAGCTTTTATCCACTTAAATATGCTGTGACGTGATCAATAAAGTTGTTTAATGATTAAATGATTTACTCATGGACTTGTAAGAAATTTCAAATAAAAATTCCTAGAAAGATAAAGCAAAAAGAGGAAAAATTATTTTTGTTGAGGAAGAGCCTCCTCTGGGAGTGGAGCGGGGTAGGGGATTGTTTTTTGATTAAATTTAAATTTTTGACTGATCCTAAAATTTCAAGATAAATCTGCTTTTCTCACATTCTATGGCTTATATCAATTTTCCTTAATAACTTTTTCACATATGTATATATCATCCAACTAGATATTTTTATTACTGTTTCTTATAAGTATTTTTTTATAGCATGTTTCCCAATTATACATATTAGGTGGTATGTATATAATGTTACATATTTACTTTGCAAGGAAGTATCTACTTAAATTTATTACATATATATAAAACAAGAAATATATATACATAAGATGTTAGATTTATTGTTTTGTTTTGTTTTGTCTTAACTTCTCCAAAATTGTAATTCACAGATATTCATATATATTGATATCATTGACATTTGCCAACAATCAATTGCAAGTTTAGCTCAACACAATTTGAATTATCTATGGGTAAAAACATTGGTGAATATAAGCTCAGAAAGTTAGAATTACTTGGAAAATTTTGTGACTTTTTCCATTTTTTAAAATGTATAGTCATGCATTTTATATTGGTTTTATTTTTGCTCTAATAATTTAAGAAAAGTGAACAGGTCAAATAAGAAGACAGGCAAGATCCTGGTGCTATGATTGGTTGGCATTTACATGGTCTTTTATACAAGATTTAATTACAAGGTAACCTGAAATTCAGAAATGTAATCTATAAGACAATCAGAGAAAAACAATTATTTTAAGCACACTTTTGTTGGTATTGTGTGATGTCCATTCTGCAACTGTAATTGGTTTGTTTATCTGTCAAAAGATGTAAGCTATATTCAGTAATGAAGATAGCAAGAATTTGAGACTTCGTGTACATTTCTTTTTGTAATAGGAAGGTCAGCCTTTTGAAAAGGGATAGAAATTAACATTTCTCCAGAATTATATTTCCTTTCATTTGAGGCTGTCTCTTAATTTCCAGCATTTTACTGTTTGATAAACTGGTGGGGGAGGTGATGAAACTTTACAAATTTCAACTGGCATTGCACTCTGCTGATAAGAATTGGAGTTTGCATCCTCTGAAGAGATTACATGAAGTAGAATTGGAAAGCAAATTGTATTTACAAAAGATAGAATGATGTTCCTAATAGGTGTTCAGAATTGACTCTTCACTCTCATATTCTGCTGAGCTTTACTAGAAATAACTTCATTTCAAAAAAGGGACAAATTTGATTGAAGGTAAAAAGCATTCCCTCTCCACAGATACTCATCCAAAGGGTTTACATTGAATTTTCCTGATGGGCACAGAACTATATTTTATGCTATATTTGTATAAACTGGTAATGCAGAAAATAAAACTCTAAATAGTATACTAGATTGCTTCATGCACCAACCATTAAGATTATCAGATTTATATCTACAATTTTAGAAGAGATGTTGCAATATGATGTTCTGACAATAACTGTCAAACTCATAATACTAGGATCTATTTTCATCTTGTTGTCAAGGTAAAGTTATTGAAATTCACAGTTGGTGGGTCAGAAAGATCACTTACTATCTCTTGTCATCTGTGGTTTAATGCTGACCTAAACAGCTACTGTATAATGTCAAAATTATCACAGTGTCCAGGCTGCAAAATGCAACATGCTATGTGATTTAATGCAGTTCTTGTCTGGAATGAAGATGGCCAACAATCATGAGCTACAGTGGTTTAAAGAAACTTAATTTCTAATTTTTCTTTCTCTTTTTCTCTTTCATTTTAGATTTTGGATTTAGTAAAAGGATCACATTACCAAGTAGCCTGTCAGAAGTACTTTGAGATGACACATAACGTAAGTAAAGTTTTAAACTTCATGGCCTGATTTTTTGTCTTTTGTTACTATTTCATTCAGGGTTTTTAGTAGCAGCAATAGAAACCACTCCAACTATTTTCAGCGGAAAGGAATTTATTACACTGTACTAGGTAGCTTATAAAATTTATAGAAGGGCCAGAAAACTAAGCTTAGATGCTCCAGAACCAGGAATATTGTTACTAGGAAAAGCTACATCATGAGAAAACTTTACTTTACTACAGCTGCCACCTACCACTCCACATCTAGGGATGCGACCAAGGGTTGGTAAACTTTTTCTGTAAAGTGCCAGATTTTAAAAGTTTTAGGCGTTACTGTCAGCAGGTCTTTGTCACAATTGCTCAGCTCTGCTGTTGTAGTACAAAAGCAGCCATAGACAGCATGTAAATGAACAGGTATGGCTATGGTCCTGTGGAACTTTATTTACAAAAACAGAGGGCCGGATATGACACATAGGCCATAGTTAGCCAACCTCTGGAGTAGTTCTAGAACTTTTGCCATAGCTACTGAAAAGAACCTAAGGCTTTGCCATCTTCCTTGCAAAAAATCTGATCCTTTTCTTGCTGCCACCTCATGCTACTCTAATCTACTGCACAGGTCTTGTATTTATCTGCAGGGCAGAACCTAGGTTACATGGTGGACCCTTGTCTGAAAGGGAGTCACAGAAATGTGTTTGGCTTTTATCTTGCTAGCTTCCTTACTACAAGAAGGCCTGCTATCATAGATTCTAAAAGGTGTAAAACAAGGGTCACAGGCCTACAGGAGTCAGCACCCCCGCCCCAAAATGAAGCTAGCTGAGATTAATACCAGCGAGTATGATAGGAACTGTGGTGCACTGAAGAGTTCATACTCTGTTAGCCATTCACATTGACAAATTTTAAGACCCTGTGCAGGTCAGCAACATATCTGTAGGTCACATTCAGCCCACCAATCCCCAATTTGCAACCACTGTTCCTGATCATGGCTTCCTAACCTAGGACAGACATTCAAAAATGGACTTGGAGGTCCATGTACCTCTCGAAATATTCCTTCTATGAATACATATGTGCATTTTTTGGAGTCTGTGCTATTCAGGTTTCAAAGGGATCCATAACCCTCCCTAAAAGATATTGCAGTTATTGAATTCATTATCAGCTACCATGCTAAGTTTTATAATCATTTTTATATTTTTAGTTTTCATGAAACAATTTTTTTATTGTGGTTATGTAAGTGCAGGATTTCTTGATGAACTATTTCTTAGGAAAAAATATATTCTATAATATTACTAATGATGAAAATAATATCAGCCAACATCTATAGAATACTTAATGCATGCTAGGCATAGCACAAAGTACTTTGGACACATTCATTCTTTTGATATACACTGCAGTACTACAACTAGGTACTATTTTTATCCCATTTATAAATAAAGCTTAGAGAAGCTGAGCAACCTCTGTACAGTCATACTGCTTATAAGGGTTGGAACTTGGATTTGAACAAGGATGTTGAGTAATTCATCTAAAGCTTATGAACCTAACCATGACTGTGCTGTTCTACAGTATCTGGTCCTGAACTTGTAATAGCTCTTGAGGTCATTAGCATTTTCCTTTCTAGATTCATGATCCAGCCTTCGTAGTGTACGTTAAAAACAAAAAACAAAAAAAAACAAAAACCAAGGCCTAGTGATTCTATGCGACTTGCCCAGGATACCATAACTGATTAATGGGAGATCTGGAGCTAGAACCCTGGTGGGCCTAGTCCTATATTATACCTAAATGTTAAAAATATTATTCTTATTAAAAAAAAAAATTAGAGTAGAGACTTGCAGTCAAGATGGCTGAGTTAGGTCAATGCTATGATCCCCTCTTCCCACAACCACATCAAAATTACAAATAAACTATAGAGCAACCATCATTGAGAACCACCTGAATACTAGCTGAATAGAAGTCCTATAAGGATATAGAAGCCACGTCAAGACTGGTAGCAGGGGCATAGACATGGAATGGGCAGGTCCACACCCATGGTATGGTGATTAAATATCAGGAAGGATATCTTGGCTGCAGAGGTTTCCCCTGTGGAGCAAGGAGATCTCAGCCCCACACTGGTCTTCCCAGCCTAGGGCTCCAGGGCCAGGAAGAGGAGCCCCTATAACAGTCCCAGCTAGGATTGTATACGAGTGAGACTTAGGTGCTGCAGGGCTTAAAGGGCCCGCAGACTCACTCACTCTGAGCTCCTGCTCAGAGGCAGCAGCTTGAAAGCACCAGGGACATAGTGGGAGGAACTAAATTGACTAGCCTTCCAGTAAAGGCTGGAGGGGCAGAGGTCAGGACAGCTCTCTCTGGAGACATTCCTTTTTTGAGTCTTTTCCTCAACCAGCCAGCGTGGCACCAAATCTGAGCTCTCCAGTAACTTGGCTAACACTATTCACCCCACCAACTCGTGTACCTGGCTGAACCTCTTCCAGTGGCTTCCCCACACAAGCAGCCTGCCTTGGCTCATGCTGTGGACTTTCCAAAAATCTCTCAAAGGTCCACAAACCGCAAACAAGCAGCACTTGGCACAAGTGTGACCAGTCTGAATTTGTACTGTTACTCTCATCAGGTAGCCTCAAGCCTGGCATAATAAGTGGCCAGTCTTGGGTTGGGATGTAGCCTCCACTAAATGGCCACAAACATGGCACAAGTAGCCCACCAAAGGTTCCCAAGCCCAGCACTAGAGACAGCCAGCCTCAGTTTCCAGAATACCCTTTCCCAAGCACCTCCAAGCCCAGCACAAGTGGCAACCAACTGCAGATCACGTCGTATCTCCAGCAAGACAGCCCCAAGCTCGATACAAGCAGTGGCTGAACTTGACCTGCACCAAAGCCCTTCCCAAGAGGCTCCAGAACCGACATGCCTGAAAGGCGGACTCAGCAAGTAGTAAAGTCCTGCTAAAGCGGCACCCTCTCCTTGGCATCAGCTCCTGTACAACAGCTCATCCATTGTAGTCACAGGCAGCCAACATGGGTCAGTCACACCCACAGATGTGCCAATAGCAATCAAGGCTCAACTACATCAGGAGGTCATACACAACCCACACAAGGTACACCCATGGAGCACCTAGCTCACTCACTCTGAGCTCCCGAACTAAAGTTTATTCTAGTATAAACTTTACACATGATGTAAAGTTTATACTAGAATAAACTCAAAATTAATCTAAAAGGTGATCAGGGATAATGCCACTGGGCCCCACAGGACACCTATAAGGCCACTCTACCAAGACTGGGAGCTGTAGCAGATCTACCTAATACGTAGAAACAACCACAGTCAGCCAAAATGAGAAGATGAAGAAACATGTCTCAAATGAAAAGAGTACAAAACTCTAGAAAAAGAACTAAACAAAGTAGAGATTAGCAATCTCTCTGATGCAGAGTTCAAAACATTGGTTATAATAAGGATGTTCATTGAACTTAAGAACAGACAAATTCAGTGAGAATTTCAACAAAAATAGGAAAAATAAAAATAGAGATTGAAAGCAAAACAAAAAAACAATCAGAAATGAAGACTGCATTAGAGGGAATCAACAGCAGATAAAGCAGAGAACTGAATCAGTGATCTAGAAGGCAAGGTAATAGAAAACACCCAAACAGCAAAAAGAATCAAAATAAATGAGGATAGTTTAAGAGACCTTTGGGAAATCAAGTGTATCAACATTAGCATCATAGGGGTACCAGAAGAAAGAAAGCAAAGTATCAAAAAACTATTTGAAGATATAATGACCAAAAATTTCCCTAATCTGGCAAACAAAATAGACATACAAGTCCAGGAAATGCAGAGGGTCCCAAACAAGATGAACCCAAAGAGGTATAGCCAAGATATGTCATAATTAAAAGGCCAAAGTTTAAACCCAGAGAATTTAAAAAGTAGCAAGAGGAAAGCAATTAGTTATTTACAAGGGAGCTCTCATAAGACTGTCAACTGATTTTTCAACAGAAACTTTGCAGGCCAGAGGGATTGGCACGAAATACTTAAAGTGAATGAAAGTTAAAGACCTACAAACAAGAATGTTCTCCCCAGCAAAGCTGTCATTTAGAATCAAAGGAGAGATAGTTTCGCAGACAAGAAAAAGCAAAAGGAGTTCATCACCACCAAACCAGTATTATAAGAAATGTTTAAAAAGATCAGAAATATATATAAACAGGAAAATTCTCACTGAAAAAGCAAACATTTAGTAAAAACAGTGGATCAACTAACTATAAAGCTAGTACAAAGGATAATAGACAAAAGTAGGAAGATGATGTGTAATTCCAACAATAAAGGATGCACACAAACATGAAGTAAAAAATGACCACATAAATGAGTAAAAATTGTAGTGATTATAAAATGTGTTCAAACTTAATGGTATGAAACTAGAAATAAATTACAAGAAGAAAAATGAAAAGCACAAACATGTGGAGGCTAAATAAAATGCTGCTAAATAATAAATGGGTTAACAACGAAATCAAAGGATACCTTGAGACAAATGAAAATGAAGACACAGTGTGTCCCCAAATCTTTATGGGACACAGCCGAAACAGTTCAAGAGAGAAATTTATAGCAATAGAGGCCTACATCAAGAAATAAGAAAATTCTCAAACAATCTAACCTTATACATAAAGGAACTAGATAAAGAATGAATAAAACCCAAAATTATAGAGGAAGGAAATAGGATCAAAGCAGAAATAAAAATCTGAAAAAAAAAAAACAAAAAAACAGAAAAAGTAAATGAAACCAAGAGCTGGTTCTATGAAAAGGTAAATAAAACTGATAAACCATTAGTCATACTCATCAAGAAAGAAAAGAGTACCAAATAAATAAAATCAGAAATGAAAAAGAAGAGACAATTGACACCACAGGAATACAAAGAATTATTGTGAATTATTATATGCCAATAAATTGGACAGCCTGGAAGAAGTGGATAAACTCCTAGAAACATGCAATCTTCCAGGACCGAATCAGGAAGAAACAAAAGAAACAAAATCTAAA